AACGTTCAGTTCGCTCAAAAGAGGCTGCCACGACGAAAGTCATCGATGGAATACTGAAAATAAAGGTATCTGTTGGACATGAAAAAGTAGTCCGCACGATGGTTGGCACACTGGATCATATGACCACTTCAAAGGAGTGTTTGGCGATGTTCAACCGCGCTTCAAACGAGCTTTTACAATGGACGAAACATTGATTCATCACAATACGCTATAGACCAAGGAAAAGCCAAACAGTGCACTTTTACGGGTGAACGGGTACCGAATATTGACAAAGTGTGTCAGTACGCCAACAAAGTTATGGCTAAATCGGTTCGGTGGTTGGATATATGGGTCAAACGAACCGGCCAATTCTCAAACATACGACTATTTTGAGAACATTGGACAAATCTTCTTTTTTTTGAGGTTTACAAAATTTAGAAAAAACGATTAATGAAATGCATCGAGCAAAAACGAATATGCTGACGTCTGAAACGGTTTTTTGTAAAAAAGCATGAACACCAGGAACTCATAAAATTTGATGTGTGATTTAGTGCCGACCTAGTCTCCAAATTGTCCTCAAATAGTTCTAAACAGGCTTCGAAAAAGCCGAGAATGTGTTGCGAAATTATCTCGATATAGTTCCAAACTGATCACGTCCTAAGATATTCCTAAAAAAGTTATCAAATGGTCTCGACATGTCCTAAACTACTTCCATAATGATCCGGAATAAGTCCTGAAATGCTCCTGAAATAGTCGTGAAAAAATCCAGAGCTAGTCCCTAAACGGTCTTTAAATAGTCGTGAATTAGCCCCGATATAGTCTTCAATANAGTCCCTAAACGGTCTTTAAATAGTCGTGAATTAGCCCCGATATAGTCTTGAATAGATACCGAGTTGATCCCGAAAATTATTCTGAACATGTCCCTAAATGATGCCGAACTGCTCCCGAAATGGCTCCAGACTAGTCGTGAACAAGTCTCGAAATGGTCCTGAAATAGCCCATGTTCATTTGTACACATAAAAAGCAATTACAGATTTTCTGCTGAGCTACACAAAAAGAAGTTAAATATTTCTGCTAGGTTAACTAAAATTTTACTCATACCGAGAGCTAAGATATTTACGCATAAATAAAATATATATTTAAAACACTTAATTACGCCTTTTATATCTTAAAAATAGGTCGAAAAGATTTCGAGCACATTAGTCGACCATTTTTGCTCATGCGTTCATGGATTAAGCGCTGGGCATTTCATGCAAGCTACCCAACCCTAAAGCTAAAAGTTCCTAAATAAATCCCAATAATTCGCAACTCGTTGTTTACCCAAGCCTCCTCCCTCACCTGTGAACCTTTTGAAAAGAGCTACGATGTTATATAACTTAAAAACTGTTTCCAATATTTACCGCTTAGATCATTAATTCCATGCATTGGTGGTGGCAAGGCAGTGGAAGCTTCAACACCATCACCGCCACTCAGTTTGGGCGCAAATTGCGCGCAGGCCCAGTGTTTACAGCACTCATCGTCGGGAATGGGCAGAATACGTGCCTGCGCCGGATGGCAGGGCAAATCGGGCGGCGGCAAGGCAAGCACGGGCGGACAAGCTGGCCGACATTCAACTTTACCGTTCTCACAATAGCAATGCTGCTCACAACCTGTCACACGGAAGCAACGCAATGAGGCGAACGCAGCGTGAATGAGAAATGTAAAAAAAAAATAAGAAAAGAAAAAAGAAAATGCGGTTAGTGTTAATTGACTGTTTGAATTGATAGCATTGTTAGTGTAAATTAAATGTACAGTACGTGTGCGCTTGCGCTTGCGCTTATAACGCTACTCACCAGTAAGATTGGTCGGTATGGGTGACCAGTTGTCGAATGTCTGATCCAAGTAAGCGCAGGTGCCGTTATCCACACAACGCATCTTCTCCGGACAGCAATTCGGTGCCTTGGCTTCAAAATCAGCTGGCTCCGGTTCCCAGCGCAAGCAATGTGGATTGAGCAAATCCAAACCGAAAGTTGAGGGGCATTGCAGCTTGGCACAGTGTACACCTTCGAGCGTACAAATGCATAGCTGTTCGCAGCCATCGTGGAATTGTTGACCATCGCGGTAATGTTGTCCCTTGTATTCGCAATCGCGCTGCTCGTGTCCACCGGAGAGATCGCGCGCCTCCTCGGGGCCATAGTGCTCGTCGCCAATCGAGTTTTGCGCTGTGGGTGGCGATGCTGTCTGTTCGTGATCGTCGAGTGTGACATCGCACAATTCCAGTTGGCAGCAAACGTCCTTGGGATCTTTCACATACACACACTTATCGAGGCGCGTGTGATTGCGCTCCGGACAACGTGGTTTGCAATTCATCACACCGCCTTCATCGCAATGACAGATCTGTTCGCAGCCGATCTCCAAACGTTCACGAAATTTGTATACGCTGCCGTTGTGGTGGCAGTCGGGACGTGGCGTTTGTGAGGAAGCTGCGCGCAAGGTGGTTCAGAGTGTATGTACAGAAGTAAATGTTTACAATGTTGGATGTATTTTTTTTTTTTTTAATTTCATTGGGCACAGCAAGTGGCGGGCGGTATGTGTTTAATTGGTTGATGAATTGATAGCATTTTTGTGATTTTATAATTTGTTTTTTGTTGAATGTTGTTGCAAATTAAATGAGAAAGAGAAAAAATATGCGAATAAGCAAATAAATTATATGAGATAATGCAATTTAAACAAAAGCGTTTATATCAATGGAATGCACTTTATAACCTTTATAAGCCGCAGTAAAAATTCATGTCTATCGAATGATCTTGAAAATGCTAAAATTTGTAACCTCTCCTTTAGTTATTTTGCGAAAACAATTCGATGACTCAAATTTTCAAATTTCCAAAAAAAATTTGTTCCGCTAAGCAATTGAAGTGACTTATTTCGAATTCATGAGAATTTAGCATGTATTGTATGTAAGTATTTATGTGTGAGTGCTTGAAGCATTTGTTTAATATTACCTACACTTGTATGAATGCAATCGCCGAAAAAGCAACGGTAAGTTCGAACTGAAAAGGTTTATGGAAGAATTTTTATGTAGCACACTTTGGTATTTATTTCCGCATTTGATACGCTGATAAATGGCAGCTCTGATCAGTACTACATATGTAAGTACTCTTAGGTTAGGTTAGCTTAATGTGGCAGTCAGTTGAAATGACGAATTCATNAAAAAGCAACGGTAAGTTCGAACTGAAAAGGTTTATGGAAGAATTTTTATGTAGCACACTTTGGTATTTATTTCCGCATTTGATACGCTGATAAATGGCAGCTCTGATCAGTACTACATATATATGTAAGTACTCTTAGGTTAGGTTAGCTTAATGTGGCAGTCAGTTGAAATAACCAATTCACTTAGACCTCGTAGGTCCATTGTGATAAAAATGTTAAACACGGGAACTCTTATGAAACGTAGGTTTGGTTTTATTCCTAAAGATCTGTTTACCAAAAAAGCATGCTTTGCTCTGAGTCAAAGCTGGCAACTGCCTTCCAAATCTTAGCAATCTCTGCGATATTTCTAATTTTGAAGAGTGCCTACCAAATAGTCATTGACCGGTTACCCAACGCATAATCTTCGAAAAATCCTCTATGACGAGGCTGCGCAGTTATTCTGATTTTTTCTTATCAAACAGCGGCCATATTGGCTTAGTTGTTAAACAAGTGCCCTGACCTACTGGCCTTAGAAATATGTTCATTCTTAATTTGTAGGTTTCCGTGCGTATCCCAATGTTACCTCTGTTTTCATGCAGTGGAAGACTATTACATTTATTCGTTAGCTCATCGGCCCCGCAATTGTTCTTAATATCACTAANTTAGACCTCGTAGGTCCATTGTGATAAAAATGTTAAACACGGGAACTCTTATGAAACGTAGGTTTGGTTTTATTCCTAAAGATCTGTTTACCAAAAAAGCATGCTTTGCTCTGAGTCAAAGCTGGCAACTGCCTTCCAAATCTTAGCAATCTCTGCGATATTTCTAATTTTGAAGAGTGCCTACCAAATAGTCATTGACCGGTTACCCAACGCATAATCTTCGAAATATCCTCTATGACGAGGCTGCGAAGTTATTCTGATTTTTCTTATCAAACAGCGGCCATATTGGCTTAGTTGTTAAACAAGTGCCCTGACCTACTGGCCTTAGAAATATTTTCATTCTTAATTTGTAGGTTGCCGTGCGTATCCCAATGTTACCTCTGTTTTCATGCAGTGGAAGACTATTACATTTATTCGTTAGCTCATCGGCCCCGCAATTTTTCTTAATATCACTAAGTCCCGGGACACATATGTATCTGACCTTGAAGACGGTACTAATATGGTTTAGAACTGCCAGGCATTCCTGTACATTAGGAATGGAATAGTCGATTTATTGGTTACAACTACACAGAACGTAATGTATAAAAGTGTGGCCGAACCGCCGCCATTTCCATAGCCCCATACGCGTTTTCTTAGTAGATTTCCAGCAGACAAGCACTTCTCGCGCTTTGTTTGGGGGGAGATGCATGAAATTTTAGGTGCAAAAGTAATTCAACGTTGGCCTTATTAATTCTTTCCCCTATATAAGGTTTCTACGCAAGCTTCCTGTCTACTATAAGTCCTAGATAGTTAACATTCTCCTACAATGAAGATTGGTGAGTGGATTGTAGGGAGCGTATGTTCCCTGGTAAAGAGTATTACCTCAGTGCTTTCTCTTAACTCATCATATGGGGTTTATTCCGAGTCTCCTACACTCTATCAAGTTTCTAAGCGTGGCCATATTAGAGCGCAGAATATTCATTTGGGAGTTTCGATATTTGACTTTGACCCTCCCATAGGGGTGCCTTTGTAGACCTGCCTGCCTAGTGTGGTGTTGCCTAGCCTTGCGGTTATGTTCCTACTGATGAGTGTAGCCTCAACTTTAGTGTCACGTTCAAAATTTTCTAAGGGTTGCGTTATGGCGTTTGCATTAACCCGGCTAGCGAGTGCAAGGTGGTTTCCGTAGATTTGTCTTTCGTGTAGACAGCTATGATGGTGAGAAAAGGCTAGTTGTTATTATGCTCCGTATATATTCATCCTCTATCTCCTCTAAGGCGTTGCGGAGGAAAAACGTTAGACTAATGGGTCTAAATTTTTTGGGATAAGTATGAGAGGGTCTACCTCCCTTGGGTGTAGAGGCGGCGTTCGACTCTTTCCAGCCTACCGCCACATAGCCAACGTTAAGACAGCTTCTTATAATAACCGCAATGATCGGAGATATAATAACCCGTGATTGCTGCAAATCTGCCGGGTGGATGTTCCGGTGATTTGTAGCGACGAAAAGTTTTAATAGCCTATTCCGCTTTCGAATTTCTTATAATTAGATTAACGATATCAGATTTCCGCGCCTCATTAGCGAATTAGCTATGCTCCACTTGATTGTTATCTGGGAAGCGTGTATCTTGGAGGAGACCTAATTATTCCGTGCTCGTCGTAGCGCATGTGTTTTCTTGACCCTAAAAATGGCTTAGGTTACATGNTTGTAGCGACGAAAAGTTTTAATAGCCTATTCCGCTTTCGAATTTCTTATCATTAGATTAACGATATCAGATTTCCGCGCCTCATTAGCGAATTAGCTATGCTCCACTTGATTGTTATCTGGGAAGCGTGTATCTTGGAGTAGACCTAATTATTCCGTGCTCGTCGTAGCGCATGTGTTTTCTTGACCCTAAAAATGGCTTAGGTTACATGAACCAGTGTTGCCACTTGAAAATATTTTTAGGTACCAAAACGCCTACCAAATAAGTTTTCAATCTACCAAAATTTGTTTCATCATTAAAACTAGATTTCTTAAATTTGCGGGGTTGTTAGGTACACAAATTAGTAGTAAAAACTAAAACTACACATAATATTGTTTACAGTATTGGTTAACCATTCACAACAAAAGGAATTCGGGCCTTTAAATAAAAAAAAATTAACGTATTGTAAAAACAAACTTTTGCAAAATTACANCACTTGAAAATATTTTTAGGTACCAAAACGCCTACCAAATAAGTTTTCAAACTACCAAAATTTGTTTCATCATTAAAACTAGATTTCTTTAATTTGCGGGGTTGTTAGCTACACAAATTAGCAGTAAAAACTAAAACTACACATAATATTGTTTACAGTATTGGTTAACCGTCCACAACAAAAGGAATTCGGGCCTTTAAATAAAAAAAATTAACTTATTGTAAAAACAAACTTTTGCAAAATTACATACATATTTTTCCTTTGAGATTGATTCAATTCATATAAAAATTTTTTTCTTGTACGTGAGAAAACAAAATCAGATATTTTACGCATTTCAATAAATTTCCAAATTTCCCTGCAAACCAAAGGTCCCGAAATCTTAACGAAATCTTTAGGGGTTTCTCATTTCTGTAACGATTTTTTTTTACGAATCTTCAAAGAAAATTATATGAAGTGGTTGACACGAGCTCGTAAAGAACTTTCTGTACGAAAAATAAAGGCATTTCTAAAAAAAAATCTGCAATAAATTTTTCACATAGCAGAATTATTTTGATTTCTTTCCAGATTTTCTTCCGAAATTTCGTAAAAGAATCGAAGTGTGCACAACTTATTTCATTTTAGAAATTTCGGCAAAAAATCGGATGAGATCTTTACGAATTCTGTAAAGTTTCTCTATAATTCAGAATACTCTGAAAAATGGTTTGCAGGGTTGTTTCAATTTGCATTCACTCACCTTTTTTACCAATACACTCACACTTTGCCTATCACCAATTTTTCGTTCAAGCCGATAGGTAGTTACCTATTTCTCGTTCTATTTCAACAGCTAATCGGTCTTAGCTTTGGGAAGTGAGTTTTTGTTTGCACAAAATTGTCTGCTTAATAAAATAAGAAAAAACTAAGAAATCTAATATGTACGTGTGACCAAAGTGAAAGCAGTGTTTGAACATGTAAACGCAAATCAAGCGAACAAATTTTAATGTTCCATTTGGTTATATTTTCAAAACATTTTTGCCTACAAAAAGCTTCATCAAACCAACCAAGCTACCAACGGAGAATGAAGCTTCCAATTTTGGTGCAATTGGACCAAAACGCCAACGCTGACATGGCCACTTTGCAAGAATTCTTCATAACTGACCGCTTCCGTTGTTTCCTCTATCACCTTGCAATAATTTTGCCAGGATTCGTGTTTTCCACCTGTTTGGATGTCATCTATACAATAAGCACCCCTATTGTTGTTGTAACAGCATAAAAATGCCCCAAAAAGTTTTTGGGGATTATTGCCGAAGTGAAAGTCCCTGGCCAAATATATATCTGCGCCGATCCGTCTACGTAGATCCAACCGGTTTGTTAACGAATAAGCATCCCTACACAGGTCTGATTGACTGACAGTCAAAGTAGTTACAAACTATAATTATTTCTACAATGGTTACCTCCCTGGGGTGGTGATCTGGGCGCTTATGATCAACAAGACCTGTCTAACCTCAATGGGTACAATACTCGGAAGCACATTATAAGATATTCTCAACTGGGCAAGAGACGTGGGGTTCGAGAAGATGGACTTAGTACTTTCTACGAAAAAAGTATAAGATTCGAGATGATATCAGGGACATTAAACTGATTTTGAAGTTGAATGTGGACGGAAGGGAAATGAAGGCCTCCCACGCTTTAGAGGCAAAATATTCCTGGTAAAATATAGGATCTATTTTCTCGAATCACACATTCCTTCTACATTGCAGCCATTAGACCAATAATGCTAAATTGCGTCTTGGTGTGGTGGCCCATAGAAAGAAAGTCATTCGCCAAATGGGTAGAGGATGTGCAACGGGTTGCTGAACTATGTACATATAACTGAGGCGTAGCGCATCACTCCCACGTTAGAACTAGATAAAATTCTAAACCAGTAACCTATACACCTAGTTGCGCAAAATATATCTGAGAAATTGGTTCCAAAACTTGAGGCAACACGACAGTAATTTTCATAAGCTAATCAGTAAATCATACTTTGCCGTGAGAAACGTGTCTTCATACAGCCATATGGATGGGAGAACGATTCTAAACTGACCGAAGGGGTGAAAGAAGCTGAGTGCCGTACTAATACTGTATTTTTGAAGCCGAAATATATGCTGCAACTAAAGAAGCTAGTCGTCAGGAGTATAGATATGCATAAAAAACTAATAAATCAGTATTGGCTATACTAACCAACACACTTTGTGTTCGTAAATATGCTAATCGATGAAACACCCTCTACTGCGTACCGAAACACAAAGGAATTGAAAGAATGGGCGGATATCCTAGCCAAAACCGTGGTAAGCTTACCACTGCAAAGCACGCCTAATGCATTGCTTCAAACCTAACCTAATTTACTCAGCTCCCTTACAGAAAACGAACGGAGTAATCCGGAGGAATTCGAACAAAATATGCTAAAAGTTTATTGGAGACTCCAAATCAAATATCGGAACTGGGCAGTGTTGCCAGTTTAGAATATTTCTCCCCCGATTTATGGTTATTTTAGGGAGAAAAGAGATATCTTTAGCGACTTTTTTCACATATTACAATTTTATTTTATTTTTGGTCTAAGAGAAGTCAAAGAAAAAGACGAAAATATTGTAACTTTCCAACAGTGTTATATTACATGTACATATTTATGTATGTGTGTAATGGAATATATTCATGTTTTTATTCTCTCATTCCCATTCAGTAATCCACCTATTCAAAATCATTGCGAAAGAGATACACATAGTTCATCATCATCCCTCAACACAGCGTAGTCTAATAAAGCTTTCTCTTTTTATTAATGTATCTAGAATTTTCTAAGTCTTTTAATACTTTTAGTTTAGTTCTATATAATTATGTTAATTATTTCTTAGAACATTAAAAAAAGTAATTGTAATTAATTTAATTGCAATGTCCTATTAAAATCTCAATTGCAATTACCAACATCAATATACTATCCTGAATTATACTGAGCTATTTCCCTTTAATTCATGATCCGCGTAAACAAGAGTAGAGCTGAGTTGGTGGACTTGACCAATATACCCTACGAAGTGCTGACGGTTATATGTATAAAAACATAGCCGTTAAATTTGTACATTCCAATCAGAGTTGCCAGATGTGGGGATTTCGCCCCATTTTGGGGATTTCTGAAACCATTTGGGGATAGATTTTTTTCGGTTGGGGATGTGGGGATTTGATGGGGATTTTGGTTTGGTTTAAAATATTCATATTGAAATTAAAATACATATATTTTACTGCCTGCCCTTAAAAATTTCTCAAACAAAGATTTTCTTTGTCAAAGTATTATTCGTGGAAAATTCCTGTTTTAATGGCTTTCCCTGAACACACAATTTTCTCTCAGCTCATTACAACAAATTGTAAAAGGATCGCTGTGATTGGCATTTACCGAATGGACTGCATATATTTCTGATTTCCTCAGTGTAAAATAAATTTTACAAAGTGGCAAGCGCACAAAAAAAAATTTACGAACTTACAGACAGCAATGGGAATAGGAACCTTGAACCGAAGGTATGTTGTTAAATAGTCTCCAAAAACCATAAAAAATAAGAAACTGCTACACGTAAATAACCAAATGATCTCATATATATGTACACATATACAACTGTGAAAATTTGCATTTTAAAAAAATATTGAAAACTGTAACTAAACGAAGTAACAGAAATGAGAATACATATTTTTTTTTTCTTACTTATGGGGATTTAGAAGAAAAATGGGGATTTTTTGGGAATAACTGCGGCTCGATATGGGGATGCGCTATACAAAAATTCTGGCAACACTGATTCCAATACAAAACACCACAAGAAAGGAAATATACCAGCGCCCAGAGGTTATCCTCCTCACGATCAGATACGCGTATTTTAATTCATCTTTTACGAAAATGTTCAATTTTCGCTATCAACACAAATCTTCAATGAAAGTAAGTTACTACGTGCAATTACCCCTTCAATAAATTTGTTCATATCCACACACTCACCATTCACACCACCTTCCGGGGAGCCAATTGTGTGCATCAGACCGCATTCCATAGTCGCGCAACATTCATCGACGGCCATTTGTCGGCAATGCGCTTGCCCATCCAAATCCATATGCGGAGCACCGCCAACCAGTTTGAAAGTGTTGCCCATGCAACGTGGTACACAAATCCATTCGCCACGATTACACGTGCAACGCTCATCACAGCCGCGATTCATTGTTTCGCCATTCTGTAAAGAAATAATGGAGAGGAAAAGAAGTGGTTAATAAAACAGGTGACGACGACAGCAGCCTCAGAATAGATATAAAGAGCGCGAAATTAAATACATTCACATAAATCAGAGTTACCAACTGTGAAATTATTGAGCAATCAAATGCGGAAATAAGTGGAAGAAACAAACGTACACACATGTATAAATATTGGGTTGAAATATAGTATATATGTACATACATAAGCGCTTTGCTGAAATGAACTTGTCTTAGACTTGCAACATTCATACATACATATACATACATATGTACATGCAAACCTACCTAAGACTTATAAGAAATTTCATTGCTCTGAAGACAAATCGTTCGATTGCTTTCTATTAAATTGTTATTTAACTGTCGCATAAAGAATGATTTAGTGGAGCAAAGTAATCAAGCTATAGAGACCGTAACGGTTATGATCTTTATAATAAAAATCATAATTTCATCGTTAAAATTGCATTTAATTTTCCACAATATTATTTGATTGTTATTTTATATTTTTTTTTTTGATAAAAATTAACTTTTTTTCTGATTTCATTTTGTTATATTATAACTAAAGAATTCAAAGCGTTGCAACCTCTGGTGGAATTTAAAAAAAAAAAAAACTAAGTGCAGAAATAGATTCCTCATACCAAAACACTCCTTAGGCATGTTTTTATAAAAAATTTAAGCACTGCTTTGCGGCACTACAGCAAAATGATAAGAAACCTATTTTCGACATTTGACAAACTCCAAACACACGTAGAAGAATCCTTCTGTGCTATATGCGCATAGTCGAACAAATCTTCAATATAAATGGACCCACCCTAATGTACTTATGTAAATTTATTTCAGATGAAATAGAAGAAAATGTGGGGTTCCAAGTCTCAGAATGCACTTATTCGCACATAGCCAAATTAACTAAGCCAACCGCCTATGTATGTATGTAAATGAAGTAAGGCGCATGCATATTAGGGTGGTCCAAAACAAAAAAATATTAATAATAAAATAAAATTATAGCTCCGTTTCAAAGCGCTTAAAGTTTTCCATGTATTTTATTGGGAGAAAAACAATTTTCCATAGAAATGGTATAGAATTCATGAAACCCAATATTTTTCTATAGGAAAACTTTGTTTCTCTTCAAGAGACTTCCAGTAAAAATACGCAATTGTTTATTTAACCATTTCCATTTGCTAAATATTTTGCATAGAAGCCCTAAAAACATTAAAAAAAATGCAATGGGGGACCCATAAAAAATCGTTAGTATTAAAAAATTTTATAGTAAACAATTGGATATTTCTTCTGAAGAGAAACAAAGTTTTTCGAATAAAAATATTTAGTGGTCCTTAAATGTCGTAAGCAAATTTTTACATCAGATTTCCTAAGCCCCAACCCGTACTTCGATGCTACTATAGTCGAAGATATCACATATAAATTTTGGTCCCGATTGGAGTCGGTTAAGGCGTGTCGCACAATGTCAAACTTCAGATTACCCTATGAAAACGTCTCAACCGACTGCAATCGGGACCAAAATTAATATGTGATATCTTCGACTATGGTAGTATCGATTTTGGGTATTAGGTGAAAAAAAAATTATAATTTAAATTTTTTGAGTCTCTATAGAGGAATCTGAACTATGCCCCTTGTGCGACACGCCTTAACCGTCTCCAATCGATGATACTGAAAAAAATCGTTAATTTGATCTTTAAGGAGCACCCTAATGTGTATGTATGCATCTTCCGGTTACTAAAACACTTTGCCCTGTGGTGGCTACAAAAAAGGGGGAGTAATAAAAAACAGATTTGATGGGCTTCTAGAGCGTAATAAAGTTTTTTTTACTACTCATATTAAATTTATTTCCGATTAACCTTCGTTCAGAGGTTTTGCAATTTTAATTTGTTTAGCTCAAAACTGGTTGCATTTTGGCAGGTGCGAATTTTATTGCTCGTTTGCAATGTTATGCAATGCTCACGCGGGTGTGCTTCATAAGAAAAATACTGCATATGATTGAACTGAAGGTTAACCATCAGGTGATTGAGAGACATCTGAAGATTGAGAAATCGCAATTTAGTTAACATAAATTTTTTAAATTTCAGGAAATTGGCGAATAATTAAAACTGGAATTTTTTCTTCTTTTAGTGGCATTGGATCATGACATGAAAAATACGAATATTTCATTGCGATTTTTTTTTGCAACAAATTTATCCGCGTTTAGAAAGGCGCAGTAAGTACTCTTCGTAAAACTAATATTGCAAATTGATATAATAAATAGGATAACCAAGCAATAATACAACATTGAGGAAGAGTATTTTATTCTAATCTTTTATGTTTAGATTTTCTTGCCTCAGAAAAATTTTTTCATTAGAAAAAGTCGTAGTTTTTTGATATATCAATATATACATATATCATTAATGATTCTAATATTTAATAATAACGACTATTGTATTTCGATAAATGTGTTCATACAAATTTTTTTGTGGCTCTAATATCGCCATTGATATATTTAACGTTATAATCTTGTGTATATGTATGTATTAATATAGATTTCATTGCCGATATATTTTTCGATATTTATCAAGACTTTTTCGATTTATCAATATTGATATCACTAATGATTTAGTTACGGAAAAGTGTTATCAGTACAACAGATTTATCGATATTGTTATCGACATATTTAAGCAATCTTTAGATTTGCATATTAATTAATGTAGATTGATACCTATATTTATTTATGAGTCGCTACCGATGTATTTATCGTTATAGTTTTAAATAGCCCAGCCGTACATTAATCGGTTTCTTTATCCAAATCGATTTTATTATCGATATGTTTTTTTTTTTATAAAAACCTCAACGCTGCTACTTTTCCCCGAATTATATTCATCTATATTTTTTAAACTTATCGATAGATATTTACAGCACGTGCAGATAGCTACCAATGCCAATTTATTAATACGACAGTTTTTGATGTACATAACTTGTTTATCTTTATTTATCGATTAAAACATTTATTGTTACTTCTTTATATATGAGTTTCTAATCGATGTATTTATCGATATCGAGCACTGAAAAGCTCATAAATAGGGACTCATAGCCACTGGTTTACTAACAGCAATTTTATCGATATACATGACTTATTTATATATTTTGATATCGATATATTTATTAAGACATTGATCGATTTATAGTTTTATTAGTACGCTTTATATGTTTCGATAAATATGTCGATAAATTTTTGAATGTATCGTCCTCAACGATATACTTTTTTGTCGTTATATTCTTCGATTTATTAAGCGGTGAATCTATCAATATCGATTAAATTATTGATATATTTATCGATTTTGATTATCGATATAACTTTTTCGCCTTAGTCATCGATAACAAGGCCAATGTTATGCAATATCATTATTCAAATCCTTTGGTTTCTGTAATACGCTACATCGCTACTATTTATGTCTTTCGGACGTCCTTGAAGCTACTCATTCTTATACTAATCAAAATATACTCGAATATGCATTTATGTGCATACAAAAAATGTACGCACGTGCATTAGACATCAAATCAAAAGATATCAAATCATCATTCACAGATCACAGAATTTCCTATTCAATAAAAAACAACTCCATCAGAGTTTACTAATTGACAGTGACGTTCTAAACATTTAAGCGCTTTTTCTACTACAATCGCTATTTCATTTCCATTAACAGTTGCGCTATTTGTTGTAATTAACAACAAATCACATTAATGCTGCGCAATCGCCTCAGCAACGCTAGCGACAACATGCCGTTTCAGCAAATATTTATTACCAACAATTTTATTAACACACAATGACTTATTACAAAATGAACAGCAGCAGCAGCAGCAGCAGCTCAAACCATGGTAGGCAGACAAAGCCGTTATGTGGGTTGATTCAAATACTCTACACGTCATCCGCCTGCTGAGTGTCTTATATGTACCAAGTATGTACTCTCTGCCAATCAATTATGCATGCACGCAGTTTTAAATGCGGTATATTATAAACAAAAAAAATAAAAAAAAAATATGTATGCGCTTGTGGTTGTTCGGGCGGGTTTGGCATTATTTGCTTTGTTTGCATTCGGCTAATAAGGAAATGCCATAAAAGGTGTTTTATACAAATGCATTGAACAGTATTTAATGGTAGTAGAAGTGAAACGAAATAGACGAGTTTGTTGCTTAAGTCTTTAGTTTTTTGTTTAATTGAAACTTGTTTGTACATAGAAATATAAAGAAAACGCGCAAGCTCTTTAACCAGTTTTTATTATATCAATTGTTAATTCTTACTTTCGTTTCATACTATAAATTTCTATGTTTATTCTATAAAATATTTGTGGTTTAACAGGAACTGCAAATCAAGTTTAAAAACCAATTAAATTAATATTTTTAGCACAAATTTATTGAACAGGTAAAGCACTTAAAAAACTAGTTTATCCAAAAAGTAGCCCGCGCTGCTGAAAATTTTATCTAATTCAGCTTTCAAGTATCGCCCAATCCTAATTGCTAAATGTGGCGTTCAACATGTTTTGCAGATTTTTTATTGCCATTGTCATTGAGACCGCATGGCATTTTGTGTGCTTAATTGCAAAAAATTTTGAATTTTTCATATCTTTGGCTGGCTTCTTCGTGCCAGTTATGTTGTGTATGTAAATATAATTTACCGGTAATTTAGCTAAGTTAAAGTACCATTTATACCTATGCTTTCAAACCCCCCTAGGGTAGCTGTTTTTTCGTATTAAAAAGCTTCTTATGCAATTTATTCATATTTGGAAATGAATGGCAATTTAAATTCCAAAAGTTTTTCGGCTACCCTTCAAAGAAGTTTAGAACTTCGGAAAGTAATTTCCAGTCTGACACTTTAGACATCTTCGAGGAAGCTAAAGCAAGTTACTTCCTGAAAATAAGGCGATCCTGCATTTCTATAGCCACTCGGAAATTGGGCTTCTTAGCTGTACAAGCAATACTCCTAAACATATAAAGCAAAGT